CCCGATTCGTCACCCCTGCAGAGGAGGCTACCAGAGTTTTTAATATGGCTTTACCTTGAAATTATCAAGGAGACCTGTTTCAGGTACAATGAATAAGAATCCTTCACGGACCACATCTGTGCTGCATTGGCCCTCCAGTTCCTGCAAAACACCAGAATAAGGCACAAACACGAGCACTTCATTTGAAAAATAACAATAGCCGAAGAAAATATATTTTTACCTCTCGTTGTTCGTCAAAAGCCATGTCAGTTTCGTAAACGAGTGGTTGCAAATCGATGTCCTGCCTGGAAAAAAAATGCAACTGACAAATTGTAAGGTGAAGAATTCTCACTTAAAAAAACTTGAATTTTTTTTTACTTTGGGCGCAATTATTTCAAAAATTTACGAAAAAAAGAACAGTAATAGATTATCACCTTTTTAATTATTTGTTTGAACGGCTGTATGGTAAAGATGCGTAAAATATAAAAAAATGAAGAAGTTGTCAGCTGTAACAATGGCAGTAAATACGACGATGAAATAGCAGTTGGCCAGTGTATCAAAGTAAGCATAAAACGAAGAAAATCGTCGGGAAATGACAACATTGTGAGGATTTTTTTTCTGGATGATAACAATAATAATGATAATAATAGTAATGATAATAATAATAATAACAATAATGACGATAATAATAGCAACAATAACAATAATAAAAAAATAATGATAATAACGATGATAATAATAATACTATTTTACTTCTCATGTTTTCTTTTTCTCAAAACTTAAAAACATTTTAAAAAATTTTTGAGAAAACCTTTTACTTTTAATTCATTTCTCTGTATGCATTTGACATCTAACCAAAATAGTACTTCATATGTGGCACATCCAAAATTTCTCGCCAGAAAAAAAGTATAAAAGCAAAATCACATCAATGCAGCCTAAGAGTTAACAGATGTCATCAACATCAAGCATAATAACTACAGGAAGTAAGCCAGAGTCATTGACGGCATGAAGGTATAGTGCGATTAGAAGTTGCTCAACAAACTCTAAGTAGATACTAGAAATATGTTTAACAAAATAATAGAAAGATATATTAGCAAGGGATGAAATAATAAGAAGAATCAAAAAGGAAGCTAAAAAATGAGAATTAGAAAATTTGCAGAATTAGTAAAATTATTATAATGCATTAAGTTGTATACATTTCTTACCGTTACCATAACTGAACCTTGTCAGTACGACGACTGTGGCAGTTAAATACTTTTTTCAAAAAACTATCGAATGGTGGACTTACTCGGATACATTGAGGTGATCGCCGCTAAAATGTGCGTAATTGAAACGGATAACACGATGCCGTGCGCGGTAAAACGAGAGCGCTTCTTGTGTTAGCAACCATTTCGCATCCGATATTTCATGTGCTTCCACACTTGGTACCGTCGTGCGTTCCGTCGGACTCAACAACACG